AGAGAGAAACAGAGAAACAGAGAGAGAGAGAGAAACAGAGAGAGAGAGAGAAACAGAGAGAGAGAGAGAAACAGAGAGAGAGAGAAACAGAGAGAGAGAGAAACAGAGACAAACAGAGAATGCAGGTATTATGGTTAAGGGAAATCTTGCCGTCTTCAGCTATCCTTAATGACAGATATAGAGAAGATGAAATTAGCCTCATAGTCTCTGAGATTGACAGGACTGCCAACAGTTACAAGCTATAGCAAGAGGAACCCCAACAAATACTGGGAAAAATACTAGGTTCACAATGAAGTCAGACAAACACTAAAAGAGGTTGTACAGCAAAGCTAAGGAATCTCCACTTATATTCAAAATGCAATTGGACAAGCCCTCACCAACGTGATGTGAATTGGCTGCAGAGCTAGTTGGACCAGATGACCTCCAAAGGTCCCTAAATTATTGCATGACTACAATTCTATTCTGGTTCATCTCTTTTAGAAAAGAAGAATTGCTGAAATTAATCCAAGGATATTTCTCAAACAAAAATCTTTTATTTTAAATTATAATGCACTGACTATTTATAAAGCAAAAAAATATAACCGTAAGTTAGTACTCACCAAAGAGCTGGACAGGTGTAAACGGTATGGTCTGAGCAAGTCTCATTAAGTTGTTTCTTTCAACAGCTGCAAACAACATAGATTTCACTACTATACTGAAGAAATAACAAGCTGGATGAGTTTCAAAAACATCTGGCAGCACTTTACTGTAGTGTATAAAGATAAGGAGGCTCCAGTGTGATCCTGTGTCAGACCTGATCACCATTCTACCCAGCTAACAACTCCCCTTTGCACACCCATGGTATCTCACAAGCGTCAGCTGCCACTCTCCCATTCATTGATTCCCTCCTTCCAAGGAAACAGGCTTTCTGGGACAAACCCCTTGCACCTTGGCTAGAAGAACTGCTTCTGCTAATGCTTCAACCTCCTCCTTTCCTCAAGGGCTGCCACTGTATCCTGCTGCCAGCTCTAATGCAGCAACTTTCACACAGCGCCAATGAAACGTATTGGCCCCAGTTGCCCTCACTGCCTGTCTCGTCAGGCTCAGAAGCACCTGGGGAACTAACCAAGGCATCACACAAAAATCCAAGCTTGCCCTGCACAGAGCACTCTGTCTTGATCTGGGCTCCTCGACAAACAACATCAGTAACACTACTATATCTCCCTAACTGGCATCTTATTTCTCAGGCAAACACCTTCAAAACTTCAGAGTGACAACTAAGTATTTATGGATTTGTCCTCACAATGACTTAGTTATCAGGAAGGGGGAGAGAAGTGTGAAGTAAGCCACAAAGAAGGTAGACTACAACAAAGAGGCACAGGATGCTACAGCGCTGACTGCCTGTTTTCTCTATTCAATGGCTGAAGACAAAACCAGTGTCCAAAGCAGAGAGCAAAGCACAGTAGAGCTGTGTTTCTCTGCAGAGCAACCAAAAACCCCTGATGGCAGACTTCTAGAGGTTGAACATCATCTGTCCTAAAAATACTTCTCTAAGCAGATGAGAGATTATTTAGCCCAGAAGGAGAGAGCAAAGTGGACCCATAACATGTCAACCCATGAATTAGGGTCCTCATTTGAGAAGATCTGCATTTCAGACTACACGTCAAGGCTTGTTTACATATTACAAATTCAACAGGCATTGATGAACATGCCTGAACAGTTTAGAGCATGGACTGGAAATCAAGGTCCTCCCTTGATGCCTCACTAGGAACATGCTCTAGTGATGAAATTAGGGCATAGCAGGGATAAGGATGTGAACATGGGAGCTGCCAGACCTTTGCCAGCTGTCAGACCGTGCCAGAACTCACTCCAGAGCCTCAACAAGGCAACACGACGCAGGCTTGCATCAGCTGCGGATCTTAGGTCAAAACTCAAGTTGTTCTGGGTGTGCAAAGAGGCAGACTATATTTGCCTGCACAACCTGATAGCAAAAATAATGCATGAACAGTGTTTGGTGCAGGATTTTGGTATCAAACTTTTGGGCTTAGTTGGCTCAATTCTATCCCGATCTTCCTAAGGAAAGAAAAACTACACTGGAAACCTCTCAAGATGTTTGTTAACTCATAATGGAAACCAGTCTCATCTGTGCTAAAAAGTCTTACCTAATCTCAAATAGCATGCCTGTCGAGAGTCAAATAAATCACTACAACAATGCCATGATGTCAGAGAAATTACTCCTGTACACTGATTACAAACCAGGTGGTGTTATTCCCAGTGAAAATCACGCAGTTTTTTGAACTTCAGGAGGCTGCTAATTCTCCTGATCTATCCTAGGCTTCCCTTAAAAGGAGGCCAAATCCTGTGGGCAACAGAGACATCTACTGACGAGCTCAATTCACTTCTCCTCCGGGAAAAACCAAAATCCAAGCCTCACAGGAATAACGTGTTCATACTCTATTCAAAAAAAAAACCAAAAAAACAAAACAAACAAACCAGGACTGCAGGCCATTAGCATTCAGATGATTTATTCCCTGCCAGATTTCCAGGAGTTCATAGGTATATAAACGCAGATTAAGTAGTACAAGGCCAATTAACTGAAGAAACCAATTCCAGAAAGTACAAAGGGGGATGTGGGAGGTGTGAGGGGAAGTGACAGCTATAAACAAATGTGCCTCTTCTGCTGCCCCGTTCATTGTTTTCACTCGTATTTTGGAAGTGATTATCTACATTCTGCTCTGGATTTGCCAGCTATACCCGGAATGGAGCAATTAGCAGCAAGAAAATAATTCCTACTTTCCTCACTGGAGTGTTAGTCTTAAATTAATATAGAACCTTCTTAGCAGTGGGCAATTGTGCAACTCTTCAAAATCACAGAGGATGACAAGGGAAGAACTAATGCTCTTATTAATTTGTTTTGAGTAATTACTCAGCTATCATCCCAGTGATTCCTGCCTTACCTGAGTAGTGATGATGCAGATCTTGAGATGTTTTCAAGCAGGTGAAGATATCTGAAATAATGTTTAAAGGATCATTACATTAATTATTATAGCAGAAATAAATACATGATTTTTTAATTCCTTCCACCCCACTACCCCAGCATTCTAAAAAGGAGAATTACTAATAGGCTTTAACTATATTATAATGTACAGTATATTGGCATATTTTAGTCACCCATGTAATATAGCCAGATAACTTATTCAGGGAAATGGTGGGAAACTTATTATATTAACCTCAAGGACGTGTAGCTTCTCTAGGTCAACTACACCTCTGAGATTTTAAAAGCACTTTGGTGTCCATCATGCCTCACAGCATCCCAAAGGCATGATTTTTCCAACTCCATCCTCAGCCATTAAGCATTCCGTTAACTATAGTATTACACAGAAGTTATAATAATACTGTCCCATTAACCCACAGCATCTAAAATGCTATTAAAATATAGATTGACAAACAGTTTCTGTGGCTACATATTTAACAGGCACAGGCAGATAAAATCGGGTTTATTTTACAAACCTTTGTTTTATAAAAAAACTTCTTAATGAAGCCAAGATTAGTAAACACATTTCCATTAATTAGATGAAATCACTTTGTTCTGTTGAAAAACAATCCTTCAAATTGCCAGATTTCAGAAAATGCGTATACTGTACTACTATTAAATCTGAAAAGTGAGATAATCAAAACTGAATCTTCAGCAAAATATTTGAATATTACACTCTTCTTCTTGGTGTATTTTATTTGCTTATATTCCCTTTTCTAGCAAAAGAGATGTTAAATAAAAAACATAAATACATGTTGGAAGAAGGGCCAGCATTTCCAAAGTGCCCTTAGTGATTCAAGTCCCCTTTTGCTCTCTTTCTTGCTGGACCCAAATAGTTTTGTTGCATTTTATATATTGTAAACCAACAAATATGAAAAGGGGAATGGGGACTAAGTAATTCCTTTTGAGGATGGTAAAACTGGATTTTAATCAAAGTAATGCTGAGCTCTAGAGAGTAGCTTCATGGTTGCAGCAGTGTGCTTCAGCACTGCAGCATTTTGTGCACAGCCAGACCCAGAAAGAGCAGTGCTTGAACGGAAGGCAAGCCTAAGAGCGACTCATTTCTGCATCACAGTTAGCCTCAAAAAGAGACAGATGCCCAGCTGCTCAGCCTCTTACAGCTACATGGCATGTCAGGAAAACTGGAAGATAGACTAAAAGGCAACAAATACAAGTGAAGTTAACTACCGCTCTGCTTTTTGTGGAACAAAGTAATTCCTTGCTATAACCTTAAACTTCTTCACCGGCCATTTCATAATAAATTCAATCCACTGATTTCATCATTTCAGGGAAAAGGCACAAAGAGAGGAATTACACCAAACTGCAACTTGAAAAATCAATCATACATTAAAAATTTTATATCCTCAGGTATAAATCCTGCTTTAACTCAAGAGATCTTGTAGACTGACAGGGATGAAAGCAGCACCATCATCTTAAAGAGTTTCTTCCTGCTTGTGTTGGTTTAAGCCCTGCCAGGACCAGAGACCACGTTGCCGTTGTCCCTCCCCCACCCTCGGACACAAGTAGGGCACAAACCCTGGGTTAAATAAGAAGAAATTTAATACAACAGTGTGATAAACAATCTGAACAACAACAGTAGCAATGATAACAATAATAAACAGTAATAACAGTAAACAAGACAAAAGATATACAGAGAAATACTGCAATGGTTACGGACAGCCTGCCATGTGCTCCCCTGTCACCAAAGCCACAAAGGAAAATGTTCCCACGCTCCTGTGCCGGACCTGACATCAGCATGGTGTGAATAACCTGGCTGGAGATCCCTTCCCCCTCTCTGCTGGGGAAACTTAACCCTATCCTAGCTCAACCAGGACACTGCTGAAAAGGACAACAGTACTGGGCAGACTAGAGTAAAAATAGATCTTTTAAGATTTTGCACTTATCATGAGAAAAACATGTCCTTACAAAAGAAAATCTTTCATTTTAAAGTACAAATTAGTAACTAACGTATGAAACAATAGCTGAACATTTTCCTATAACCTTCAACTATAGTAAATTAACTTCCTTTTGGATTTTGTACTTCAGAATTGTCAGATTTGTAGAGAGGAATTAAAATGAGTGACAAGCAACCAAAAACTTACTATCAGTTTCCTCTGAAGCTCTCAACCTGTTTAAAAGCAAACATTTAATATTTTATTCCAAAATTTCTGTCATTAAGCTAACACTAGTACATATAAAGAGATGTGATCTATGTGAAGGCATACTCACAAAGGTTTGATTAGCAGTCATAAAACAAAGTAACCCTCGGTGCAACTTTGTTCATTGCAACAATCAGCAAATAATCTTCAGCTAATGAATACCCACATTTTTCTGCACGCTTCTTTCTCTACTTTATCTTGAGCTGCTCTTACAATTCTGCATTGCTGTTCATATAATTTACACTGCAATAACAGTATCAGCTAAAGACCACTTCAATCACATACACAATTGTTCATTTTTCAATCAACGCTGAGATGAATTCAGAGCTACATACAACATTACCGTTGCTTGCACAAAGACAAAACTTTTTAAACTGATGGTCCTTTGGATTAGTAAGGCTGCAGAAAGACTATAGCATCAGCATTAACATTAAAGCAGTCTTTGTTACAGAAGACAGTAGATGTGATTCACCTCACAGACCAGAGAGATCCCATTGAAGACAACAAACTAAATGACAGAATCAGGCCACTTAATGACCTGCAAGTCCTGCTGGTAAGTATGCAGTTTTCCCACTGCCTATAAATGACTGGGTTTAAAAAAAAAAACAAAAAACAAAACAAAACAAAACAAAACAAAACAAAAACAAACAAACAAACAAAAAAAACCCCACAGGATGGGTAAAAACCACAACATATTCCTCCTCTTCACATGGTGTAATCACAGGGGTTGTGAAAGTGTTCTAGTGTCTTTTATTTATTACATCCACAGTGTTACTGTGATGTACAAAAGAAACTGATGAACATAAAGAAAAAGAACATAGAGACAGCACTGCATGTGGAAAAAATAATGCCAATATTAAGATAATGATCAATCAAGCAGGAAAAAACATGCAAAAAAATTGAAACCACTTTTGAAATCAGCATACTCTCACTAAATACAATCAAAGCTTAGTAACTATTGAAAACTATTAAGAAAACCAAGCGAAATATTTTGTAAATGTGCAGACTCAGTACAAAAGAGATTAATCAGAGAATGAGAGAAGCTTTAAGAAGTTGCTAGTATTTTAATTATTCAAAAGGGAAACATGCAGTTTGTACAGAAAAAGCAAATACAACTTGCATGTTAACTAGATCAGAATAATGGCTAGTTAAAGATGCTATAGTGATCTCACTGATTGAATTAGAAAATCGGATTACTGTTAGAAGAGGTGTCTATTCCACGTAAAATTATATAGTTGTTGAATCACATAACAGTTTGGATTGGAAGGGACTTTGAAGATGATCTATTTCCAATCCCCTGCCATGCGCAGGGACACCTTCCACTAGCCCAGGTTGCTCAAATCCCCGTCCAGTCTGGCCTTGAACACTGCCAGGGAGGGGGCAGCCACAGCTGCTCTGGAGGACTGCTTCCAGTGCCTCACCATCCTCACAGGAAATAATTTCTTCCTCATCTAGTCTAAATCTACTCTCTTTCAGTTTAAAACCATTACCTTTCGTTCTATCACTACACTTCCTGATCAAGAGTCCCTCCCCATCTTTCTTGTGGACCCCTTTAAATACTGGAAGGCCACTACAAGGCCTCCCTGGAGCCTTCTCTTCTCTGGGCTGAACAACCCCAGCTCTCTCAGCCTGTCCCAATAAGGGAGGGGCTCCAGCCCCCTGATCATCTCTGTGGCCTTTCTTGGGACCTGCTTCAACAGGTCCATGTCCTTCTTGTGATGGGGGCCCCGCAGCTGGGCACAGTACTGCAGGTGGGGTCTCATGAGTGGAGTAGAGGGGGAGAATCCCCTCCCTCAACCTGCTGGCCACACTTCTCTTCATGCAGCCCAGGATACAGTTGGCTTTTTGGGCTGTGAGCTCACATTGCTGGCTCATACTCAATTTTCCATCCACCAGTACCCCCAAGTCCTTCTCCTCAGGGCTGCTCCCAATCCACTCCTCAGCCAGCCTGTATTTGTGCTTGGGATTGCCTTGATCCATGTGCAGGACCTTACACTTGGCCTTGTTCAACTTCATGAGGTTTGCACTTCAAATTATACAATTTGTTTAAATGAATCACCATTAATAAGGCTTCATTTAAAGAAACTTAAACATACTGAATTGCCTTAACTCTCCATGTCACATAAATTTCTCATCCTAATTATACTGCAGAACTGAAGTGGAATCCTGCAGAAGTATAGTAGAATAGATAGTATAGTAATAGAAAGTATAGTAGATAGTAGAATATCACATATAGTTTCTAAAATATGTGATTAATATCTTTATATAACAATAATACATACAAGGTGTTCCTGTTCAGATTACTTTTCTTGGTTCCAAATATGCTATTACTCAAATCCTGTGAAAAAAAAATAGATACTTTTACTGGTAAAATCTGCACATCACTGTCGGTATATACACTGCACAAATCAAAAGCATACAATCTTGAAAACACTTACTGATATATTTATTGTTAGCATGGATAGTGACACTAACAGGCACGTGAATCACAGCATTGCCACACCTACACTAAAATGGAACTAATTTGCTCATATTACAGTTTTCCATGCTGTTCCCATACATTTGAATAAAGCACTCACACACTTATGTATATCTCCATACACTCACAAAAGCATGTTAAAGGTCTTCTAGGATGGACAGTATTACTCTCTTTATACTGGAAAATTCCAATTTAGGGACAGGCTTTACAGTTGTTGAAAATAAAATGCACCCTAAACCTCTATAACAGAAGGTAATATACTGAGCAGCTTTCCAGTGATATTTAGATCACATATTTTCCAGGTCTTATAGTTAAGTGAGTATTCAAATAGTCTTTTAAACATTCAGCCATATTAGGGAAAATTGGGCCAGCTAGGTCCTCCTCATGTACTAGTCAGAAATGGGATTATTCTTCTGAATAGTATCCAGGCAAATTTCAATTCTCAACAGAAACAGTCTCCCCTAAAAAAGTCCAAATTAACTAAAATTCAGCTTTGAATATTAAACTCAGCATTTTTTTATGTCACTCATTTTCACCTCATGGCTTGCTTTGCAGATGAAAATATCTTTAACAAAATGAAAACCATCCTACAGACACCCTTGCTTTGCTCTCTGCTACCCATCAGGAGGGATTTCTGAACCACTGGTGTTCAATGGATAAACCTGAGAAGCAGCACTTTAAGAAAAATACATTTTTTAAAAAATATATCATATTCCAAGCAGAACAGTTGGATGCAGCAGCACTGTTACATCTCAGCAATATATATAAAATCTCATAACCCAGACAGGATTTAAGGAGAGGCATAGCAACTAAGTGGGTACTGGAGACTCTATCTTGAAAGAATAAATAATTTGAAGTTGGTGTTCCAGAAGCAACTAGTTTCAGCCTAACGCCAATCCTACTGTAATCAGTGGAATTATAAGAGCTTATAAAACCCCACCCTTGAGTTTTACCCATATTTAAGACATCTTAATATGAGTTTTGAAGCATCAGATTACTAGGTCCCTTCACAAAGTTTTTCCTGACTGTACCTTTATTTTTCTTGTCTGACCCTGTGTTTCACATTTCAAAGAGTTATTCATTTAGACTCCAAGCTCAGGTTTTATGAAATACTAAATCAGTAAATTTATTTCTATTTCTCTCTCACTCTCCACTCTTTCATACAAAACCTGCCATTTTTAAAATTTAGATTCAAGCTCCCTTCCCAGTATTTGGGATTCAAATTCTACAGCACTCAGAAAAACAGATCTGAAAATTCCAAGTTTATTTTTAATCCTTAAAAAAAAAAAGGCAACTGATAGCACTTACAGTGAAAAATAAGGTAGGCTGTTAAAGATCACCATTTTAATAATCAAGAGGGATGTAAGTAAAACAGGCAAGGAAGCGTGCTTTTGAAAAAGGAAGAGGAAGGGATTATTTCACAGTTCCTTAATTTATTCTTTGTTGATTTCCTTTCATACCTCTGAGATAGCCCTATGCAATGTTGTGACACATTTTCTTCCATTAGCTACAACATTTTAAAACAGATAGAAGTTTCTACAATCCAGATTCCTGCCCTGTCTTCAGGAAATATAAATTGGTCTGGCTCCATCAAAGTCAATGAGTATATGTTGATTATGTAGGCAGAGGACCTTTAAATTATGGAGCTGCAAATTAATTCTGATAAATAATAAGATACAGTGTTTATAAGTCAGTGATTAAGAAATCTAAGCTTGGCAATTATTATCAATATTTAACTCTCACTTTGCAAGAAATAACTACCTCTATGTGATTAAGAGCTAAGTAGCTAACCTTCCAAAATTTACTCCACTCTGTTAACTAATTCTGTCCACAAGTTCAAGACCAAGCCGTGTGCTCACTCACTGCCTAATGAAACATCAACACACATCATTTCTGACAGACTTCTTCATACTCAGAACAACTCCGTGGTTCAATAATTTAACAACCTACTTCAATAATCTTAATAGAATGTTAACAGATGTTAAATTATTCACTTACTCAAGGCATGCACTCTGCCATCAGACAACAGAGTTCCTCACCTCTCAAGAGGTATTTCATGACAAAGAACCTATAGTGGCAAGTCCAGGGACCTCGTAGAGTTACTCTGGGCTCACCCCAGCCAAAACTATGGACTAGGATGTGTAATCTTAGGTCTTACCTCTCGAGAATGCCTCAGGTAATCACAGAATGGTATCGTATGCCTACCGATGTCTTGGTTTTTCATTTTCTGGTGCATGTAACTGAGATGTTCCAAACCTAGCCAAAAGAGCAGGTGTCAGCTATTTCCAGAATGTAAGTAAACAGCTCTACTGCTACAAACCAAACACCTAAGCAGTGCTATAAAATAAACACCTATATAACATGTTGCCCCAGCAAACACATAATGGGCTATAAAAACAATAACAGAATTTCACAAGATTAAAACAGTCTGTTTCCATTCTCTGTCAGCAGATTTTAGAGAAGCACAGCCCTTCTCAGACCATGCCGTGCTGAGTCACAGCATTCCCTGGTGCTTCTCCCAGCAGCTTGGAGGATAAAGCCAGTAAGCAGCTTCATAGCAAAGCAGAAAGATAAGATGAACTATGCAAAGGATTTCTGAAAATGAAAGAGCTCTAGAATTACTAAGAGTAAGAATACCATTCTCTTTTCACTCCAATAGAGACGATACAGAATTCATTTATTCCCTTTGGAGGATGTGTTTCTGAGCAATGAATAACGCATTCAGAGAATCTGCCAGCAGATACAGTATTGCAGCACTGCCTGTGAGTGTAAATGCCCTGAGAAATTCACAAGAGAGTTTATTTTTGCAATTAGCCAGGATGCCACTTTAGAAGACAACTCAGGAGAGGAGACACGGATATCATCCTCCTCGTTTCCCATTTATTCATGAGGATTAGTACTTTGCTATTTTCCATGAGACAGGAAGCACTCTCAGACAGATTTAACTGACTTTCTATCCAACCTATGTCCCTTTTAACTCTGCAGTGATGCAGCAAATAATCAAGTTGTGTGTGCCTGCAACCTAAGTCTAATTCTGTAAAAATTATATCATGAGGTGAAAGTGGTGGATGACACTCTGTGAATTTTTATTTACTGCTTATTTTTAAAAGCTGTTCTGAATTTCACCATCTGCAAAATATCACATACTTAGCTGACTGAAATTAGACACAGTGAGCCAGTTCTTGCTGTGTTTGTCTTGCTCATCCCAGACATTGATCTCTGCAGGCTCTGAGCTCACTTGGGTGTTCTGAGGACAATCATCCACTCTAATCACCTGGAAAGACACAGACAAAATGACACTCGATTTATAGGATGGCTAGCACCTCTGCAGTTCCCCTGACATCCTATGATGTTGCCTTTCGGAGAATCACTGAAATACCAATGACTGAACTCTCTCCCAACTGAGAAACAGATTTTCCAATTTTTGTTAGATGTTACAGAAGACACATTGCTTGTGTCTAGTAAATACTACTGATGAAAGATCTAGCACTGCAGCTTTTTAAAAGAAAGTTTGAAATACCTTCAGAGATATTAGGTTTCTAAGTTCAAGTCTAGGATGTGTTGCTGACCTGAGTATCTTATGTAAACAAATCAGTCTACAGCTTTCATCCCACTAAACAGAAACAACTCTTTCCAGCTGACAAAGATCCTAGGAATCTCTTTATAACTTCATAAATAGATTTTTATATATGTACCTACACATATAGTTACAAAAGTTGTCTCATATATATGAGACAATCAATATAATGTCTGCAATGTGCTAAACGTTTGATGGATGCAGAGAAAAGACTGTGAGACTCTTGTAGGCAGGAGATTTGCTTGTTTACAGTTGCACACCACCTGGATATGGCTCACCACTCCATCAGTCTATCCTAGATTATATGAAGCCTCCCCAGGTCTTCCTGCCAGCTAAAGTGCAAGAACTGATTCCTTTCTGTGTAAAATCAGTAACACCCCTGGTATACTATCTAGCAAAGTCCATAGACTTCAACACATTCAAAACTGAAATCCCACACATCAGAACAAAACGTAAATTAGACCAAAGCCAGACACACAAAAAAGATGCCCCAATTTGTGTGCAGCATTTTAAATGTATACATTCTCACTAAGCCACATTGCAGAACTGCTCTTAATGAATGAGAAAGACAACTATGGGATATATGATTCTCTTGCATCTGCACATACCGGCACCTGAAGGGGTTTTTGATTCTTCTTTCCTCTCCCAGACTTTCTGTCTCTGTTTTGTGAGTTTGCTTTTGTTGCCTCACTGTCGTGTAGCTCAGTGGATGGTAAAGACTCTGTGGGAAAGAGTCAAAAAACATCATTATGCTACAGAGTTTTTGTTTACTAAGAGAAGATCTGGTAAGACTGAGAGTTGGCAGATCTCCAACGTAAACTGAGAAAGACTTGTGACACCCAAAGCTAATACTCATGCAGTTTAGTGCAAAGATGTGCACCATCACAAGATATAAGCCAACAAACATTATTCATCATCTCATACTCTTTGTACTTAGAACTGGATCTGTTATATTTTAGCTGTTGGTAAGCAAACTTGGTGGTGGACAGGGAGGGTTTTAAACTGGCTATAAAAATGTATACCTCTTCATTCTCCATGCATCCATCTGACCTATGATACTGCTAATGTATCTCTTAGGGATTGTGCAATTTCTTTGGGCTCCTGCAACTCTTGCATTGCATCCCCAGTGCAGGAGACTTCCATAGAGCAATCACAGTCCCTCTGTTACCCCAGCTGTGTAATCACATCCATAGGGATCTGGTGAGATGAGAAGAATCAGGGTGGCTGACACACAGGTGTGGTACAGCTTGAATAGCAGGCACGCTTCAGAAATTCCCTACAGCAGTTAGCACAAAGAAAGTGAAGGAGTAACTCTGGACTCTCCACTGCTACTTTCAACTGGAGCTAATACATCCTGGGTGCAAAAGAAATATTTTTATAATGTCTTGGGCTCACCAGTAAAAAATACTCTACAGGTGTAACGTTTTATAATTACCCCCTACGGCCTTGAAGCTTTTCCCTCTTTTCTCTTTCTTAGAGGACTGTAAGCTGTTGTTCCTGCAGAAACCCCAGTCCCTCCAGAGTGGGCTGATCCAGAAGGAGGTGCTGCGTTTCAGTTTGCTCCGAGAGATGATGCTGCTGTGACGTGACCTGTCAGAGCTGTAGGAGGACTTTGATTCTTCTATATGCACATGCTCGGGAGGACTAACTGTGCAATTGCAGTCACTGTTATTGGTGGAATGTATGCATAGGGACACCTTCCTTGATTCTGAGCCAAAAAGACCTTTTTCATCACCTTCAGAGAATCCCCAGTTGACATAACCACCTTCAGTTTCTTCTCTCTCATTGCAGGAGGATGTTGCACTCCCTTCAATACCTAGCGATGACTGGAGACCAAGAGCAGCCTCTATGGGATTAGTCTTTTGTGATGGCAAATTAATAACAAAGTCTCTCTTCCTCCACTGATAATCTTCTGGCTCCTTTCCAACGAGACTGACATTCCCCAAGTTTTGCTTCACCGCAATGCTACTTTGCAGTTCATCTCTGAACACATTGTCCCTCTTCTTGGCAGGAGTGCTCAAAAAGGACAAATTTAAAGTGACATCCTCAGAGAAAGACCCTCCCTGATGGTCAGGAGGCACCAGCAAAAATTGTCCATATCTAGGGGTTGACTTAGTCTCAGAGGATACTCCCGAAGTGAGTGTGTCACTTTCTATTTCTATTTTTCGAGAGCTGTCTTCTACCACCTTGCTACTCTCGGTCCTCAATACATGATCTTTGCACTCTGATGGCCACTGACTCCTTACTAAGCTCCGTAAGAGGGAGGGGGGCATGCTGTAATAGTGGTATTTCTTGTCATACAAACACTCCAGGCTGCTCAAGGTCTTGGAATAGAGCACATTGCTCCAGCTATGGGGCAGCTTCTTATCAGTTCGATGTTTTGTGTCAGCCAGTAAGGCTTCTTTCACTTGCAAGGTGTCTACAGCTGAAAGCACTTTCAGGATGTCCACTGTCAAGGCAGACAGGTCTTGCAAATGTCCTAGCTGGCTGTCCAGGGAGAGTAAAGACTCCTTGATATAAAAGACCTTCTCATGTACTTCTTTAAGCTGTAGAAACATTTCCTCCACTCTAGGTGGAAAAAAAAAAAAAATTAAAATACCAAAACACAGATCTTTACTTCTATTTGCCAGATGATGAAGGAAGCCATTAACACATTCCAAACAGTCAGTGTCTCAAACAGCCATTTTGGTTTTTTAATGGTGACTTTCATTCCCATGAATATCTATATTTGACAAAACCCATCCATACTTACAACATGTCATTCAGATTACCGGGCCAACAGCCAGCAACTTTTACAGAAACAGGCTTTTTGCTAAAGGAGTATTTATTTTAAAAACTGCTGTTTTCCTAGTAATGTCTATTCCTTGCCATAGAACTATTAAACCATGGACAGCAGGACACAGCTTTAGAAATGTTGTATTGGCTATTGCTATAAATGTGAAATACTGTAGAGTATACTTCTTGTCAGCCAGTCATCCTCCATTTCAACATTTCTCTTGCAATTATGAGAAGGACAAGACTTACACAAATCTAGAGACATTCTTGCATTTCTTAAATATTGGAGACTGATGGGAAAAGGGTCTTCCCCAAGGACCTATCTGATCTCTGGGAACAGGTTCTTTATGTCTGATGCCATCAGTAATCTTCAGGTAAAATTCAAACTGTCCAAAAAGCAAAGCCTTTTTTTACGGTCTTCAAATCCCCAGTGAACAGTGCAAGAACTTATTGGCCTGGAAAATCATTATCTTCATATTTCCTGAGGATACTCTCTCTGATGTCTATCACTAAGACAATGATAAACTAGCTTCAGGCAATATGGAAGTTGCTCCTTTCTTCTGTCACTGAGTAACTAAAAGATGTAGTATTTAACAAATACCTGAATAAAATCAAAGAGCAGTGTTCCAAAATATTTTATTAATCTAATTTATTGTATTAATGTTATGCAATGCTGTCAAGTGTGTTTCACCTTAGCACTCAGAAAAAAATTCCTATCCAGATCTGTATTTACCCACTAAAGGAAATCTTGCTGTAATCAATTCTATAGTTTTTGAACAAAGCTACTTATTTTATTTCTTTTACAGAGGACATTCATTTTGCTTGTGTGTAGGTTTTTTTAGTATGCAGAAAATAAGATTATGAACAGGCAAAGATTAAGAAGCTATCTTTCTCTAGCCAGAACAAATTTATTAGATGAGATCAGTATTGGCATTCAGTAAGACTTTTTATAGTGCTTACTTTCTTTAACACTTCCTATTAAACTTAATGGCACCTTTGCCATTGATTTCAATAGAAAGCTAAATTAGGCCAATACTGAGAGTTTTAAAATCCCTCTGAGAGTTATGTATAGACATTTTTCAAACCAAGACACTACATTTCAGATAATGCTACAATGGTTATATTGTTATTTCTGTAAACACCAGTTGTACTCAATCACAAGTAACATTCTTACAGCATTCCTACACCACTAAGCCTCTAAAAAAACATATGCATTGTATGCTCTACTCTGGCATGTTTTCGTGGTGCTACCTGGTCTGCAAAAGCAAAACTGAGCAACACCTTACTGTACCCCTCTAACAACCTGCACACCTCTGGGGATGCAATTCTGCCAGCAAGGCTTCCCAGCCAGGCCTGCCATGCAGTTCAGATATATTACATTTCCAACAAATTAGCAAGGCATTGCATGTTATTGTTCCTCATGTTCACAGTGGCCATAATCTGTTGAAAAGCATTAGTTTATCAAAGTCTTTTTATATGACAAATGTATACAAAGAGCACGAATGTGTTGCAAAACAACCTTTCTGTTGTCAGACGGATCCTTTCACTGTCACTGGAACTCAGGCTTTCATTCTTCTCATGAAAATACTTTTCCACACACTGTTCCTCAAAGTCATGGAGCTTCTTTAACTCCTCGTCACTCAGGTACAGCTCTGAACAAAGGAGGTAGGTATCGATATAAAGAATGCTGACAAATGCAACTGTTTATACACATCCACGAGAAAAAAGAAAACAGGTCTTCTCCCCCTCCCTTGACAAGAATGAATCACACCTAACTGCATGAATTTGGGCTCCTGTATAAAGACTCAACATGCCAAATACATCTAAACATGTTTTTTATCTTTCCATAGACAAGGAGTAAAAACACACTGACAACAATTCAGGTGCACTCTCTTTTAAAGCCTTAAAATTACATACCCAAGTGGCTGCTCACAAAGACATCTTCCTCCAAATTTCTTCCTGCATTTTGTTATACATCTATGACTCACAAGACTTAGATATAGATATGTAAGATTTACAAAAATTTCATTGTAATTTGGTCCAGGCATTCATTTAGGGCTAGTCACCTGTAACAATTACAGCCCACTCAGGTAGTCAAAGCTATTTTTTTCATTTAATTGCTTCACATGTTCGTATGTAAACAACATTAAGCAAGATTACTGGGCAAAAAAGAACACATTCAAAAGCTTAAAGCTTCACATCTTGGGCCAATCATGATGATATTCTTCTAGCACACCAAGATTTCTGAGAGAACAGACCAGTTACAAGTCAGTATGAGGAAATACATTCAGTGGAAAGCTGCTTCTCTGATCCAAACTTCACATCTTCCAAGCTCCTTTCTCCTTTCTTTTTTACATACCAGAGTCTTCACTGTACTTGCTAGGGGTGTATCTGTGCCAAGTGGCCCAGCAGTGTCTGCTTCAAGGATGCAGTACTCGACTGCAACACACAGTTCTGCAGGGAAGCCATCCGCAGTGTTCTGGGGTCCCCCTCTCCAAATCAGACTTGATCACCTCCTAGGATCTTTACCCCCCCCTAACTCATCTGTTTTCTTGGCTCAAAGATTTTACTCTGTATCTTGGTATTTTCACTGATTTTCCACAGGATGGCACTGTATCCTCACTGCTAAAACCAGTTAATTATAAGCGCATCAAAAGTACAAGAAACTTACCAAGCAATGTATAGGCATATAAAAAAGGGACACAAAGGTACATGAAGAGAAAAGAAGTCTCTTTCTAAGGGAAGTTTAGTCAAGGCATAAGCCCTCCTCTTTCCAAGACTTTTAGATGTGGTAAGCAGTGTTTCAGTTCTCCTTGTGCCTAATGCACCTTACAAGTAAGACTCCATCTATTCTGTGCCAGTGATTTACACTATGCATGCATGTAACATAAGCAGTGGTATTTCAAAGGCAGGCAGATGTATCCAGTCATGATGGAGAAGCTGAGCCTTGGAGCAGCAGTAAAACAGAATTGATTAGTTAAGCCCATGTTTAGTTAAAAAACTCTGTAACCACCTGTGAGCATGCCAGGTATCTTCAAGGATTCATGTTCAGCAGCAAAAATCCTAAGTGAAGCATAACCCAGGCAGGGTTTGTTCACCTCTGTTATTAGGCATCAAGAGGTACGTTGCATCAAAAATGATGAGGCTGTATAATACTATGTGCCAATGTTCCCCAATGGTTTTTTAGATAAAATTATAGCCATCAGTCTCTTCTCCTCCCCATTTCCCTGCCTCACCCCACCAACGACCATCATCCCCATCCCAACATCTTGTGGTGCTCTCCCCACAATGGCTAGGGCTGCTCCTGGCAGAGCTGCAGAAGGTGGCAACAGTGGGACAGGCATCACCTTAAAGAGGCATTAGGATGGACCTTGGGATGGAGAAGCCCAGGTTGGGAGGGATGAAGGAGGTGGGACTGAGGTGCAGTGATGAGCCAGTTCACAAAGGGAAGGATGCACCGAGGAGGTGGGAGGCTCATACACTCTCTCTCTGCATCTGCCAGCACTGGATCTCCTCTGTCCTTGGTCTTTGTGGCTACATCCTCTGGACAATTAAAAAGGAACTGTTGGTCTTTTCAGGACAAATGTATAAAAATGTATACCTCCAGTATCATTTACTTTCTTTCAAAATAAGGATATTCATTCCTACAGAGTAAGTTGCTGTCAAACACAAAGCAAAGCATTTTCCTAGTCACTTTTTCCTACGTCAGCTCTCAGACAGGCAGGTTAAATTCAGTTTTGCAAATAAAAGCAGCCTCCTACCCAGAGAACCTTTTTTTTTTTTTTTTTT